GATGTAACCTTCGAACAGTTAAGTCAGCTAGCTTCCATATATAACTGAAACTTTAGGGCTAAATTAAAGAGGAAAACAGTACCGTATGTGAAAAGAAGAATATCCTCAACAGAAGTAACGCGTATGAATAATCAGTTAGCTAGTGTTTTTCTGAGGAGATTCCCTTTAATTTGATGAGTTCAGTCAGTCGACTCAGCCAGCCTAGGATCATATTCAGAATTAAACCTGAATTGATGTCTTGTAAAAGATCCAATTAAGATGTGTATATATACGAACTAGGAAACGTATGAAATATACGTGACACACGGGTGCAACAGAAACACAGTATGGTTAGTTAACGATCGAGAAATCGCCCTTCATATACATAGATTGTTAATTGTTGTCTGAAAACAGAATGAATGAATGAATGAATGAAATAGGGAGCAAGGGGAAGCATGGAGAAACTTGTGGACAATATCGCTGCACAAGATATTTGCAGCGATAGGAATGGGGATCGCCCTGCTGAGGATGCTGCCCAAGAGACCGTTTGCGACAACGGTGGCGTATTCCTTAGCGTTTGCAGTCTCAAGCCCAGTAGGGGTGGGAATAGGAATCGCCATCGACGCCACAGCAGAGGGACGCACAGCAGATTGGATATACTCAATCTCCATGGGTCTTGCTTGTGGGGTTTTCATATATGTTGCCATCAATCACTTGATATCCAAGGGCTTCAAACCCACAACAACCACCCGTTTCAACTCTCCTTGGTTTAGGTTTCTTGCTGTTCTTTCTGGGGTCGCTATTATAGCCCTTGTCATGATTTGGGACTGATTTATATATATTCGCCCACTAATATCATTCCGATTCTCTTGCAATTCTGTGGCTTCATGTTCTGTATTGCTGTATATGTGTGGGTATGTGTGTGTGATGCTTTGTTAACATGCCCGAGTCATCAGATGTTTGAGGTTATTTCTCTGGGACTGAATAATTGTAAAGGCCATGTACCATAATTTTCTGTGTCCGCAACAAGAATCGTAATGATCTCCTCATTTTTATTGTCGTCTCCGCTTGTTAATTAGCTTCAATCACTCCACGGCTCAGACAGTATTTTCTTGGAAACAAAAAAATAAAATATATAAAAACTTTAATGCTCTTGACACAATATTTGAGGCACTGCCATATACTAATATTATTATCTTTTTTGGGCTGACACATGGAATTTTGTGTTGTTTCATCTTATTCAAATTGTTAGTCACTTTTTTCGCCAAATTTAAAAAAAAAATGTTAGTCATTTTGAAATGTTTATACTTTTCCAAAATGATTGTTACTTTCAGAATTTCAATAATTCATTATTTCATCATCATTTAGTAGTTACGTACCGTAATGCAGGTTATCTAATCATTTTCTGTGCGTTAGAAAAATAACGAAGTGACCGCTATAATTAGTCACAACACAAGGATCATATATAATTCTCTATAGTACTATAGCATTATACTAACCTTGTATATGTATAAAAGTTTAATTATTTTGTTCTATATATGTAAAATTTTAATTATTTTGTTCTTACAAAGTAAAAAGTACTTATTCTAGACCAATCGCATAAAAAATTCGGTAGTCAATTGGTTACTGATCTACCGGAAAGACTATTTATAAGAGAGCTACCAAAAATAAAACAGAATTTTGTAAAGATGGCGAAGAACGTACTATCTTCCAATATAGTGACAAGGGCCTGAGGTGAATCCTCGAGGAATAACCTAACCCCCCGGGGGGAGGAATGAGATATGAATAATTCTACCTTTCCTCATAATTATAAGAATTAATTAATTAATTTAAAAAAATTAAAAAAAAATTAAGTCAGTTATTTGTAATAAATAGGTGTTGTCTTTCCTAAAACATCTTTACTAATCAAGTATGTTGGTTAAAATTATAATTATTAGAATGACTATCTTAAAAAAATTTGAGTAAATATGATAAATAAAATAGATTGGAGTCTTATATATAAGATCAGTATAAAAATCAAAGAGAGTCTCGTATAAAGGTAGTATATGATAGGATCCACTGAGACTGACGGTGGGCTTCGCCTCACTGGATTTCAAGAGAATGAAGACACAAATAGTAAATCAGCGATAGATATTTTTGGACAATCAATGAGCATTAATTGCTGCTCACAGGGAGGCTTGCTTTTGTCATAATTAGTGCTGTGAGGAAGCAGAACACATCCCTCATAGGGAAGGAGTTTAGTTTCAAATAAATAAATACAGTGTGCTCAATTCCACTGACTCATCACTCATCAGACAGAGGGATTTTATATCATACCTCAATCTCTCAGTGCTTTCATTCAGAGAATTCAGGGCACTCACAAGTCACAACTTCAAACTAAATAGCCTGTGTTTGTGAGAGACTGGTCGCTGAGATCCTTGTTTAGCACAAGCAGCCACAAATTTCCCCCTCGCCATCTCGAGCTTGTTCAGTTTTAAGCTTTAACTCAAAGATGCACCATCGGGTACATGCATACGTGGTTAATTGGGTCTGCTACTGATTAATATTCCTCCGCTCTTTCTTATAAGATCTAAACTTTTCAATTGCTAGCTGTACCCAAGAGAACAAACTTTTGAATTGATCCGATTATTTTTATAAGATTTAGTTTGGACTTTAGAGTCATGTGAACATTAAATGTATTATTACGAATTTTATTTTTAACTTATTATTGCATCATTTTTTTTTAAAATATAGTTTCTTTCATTTTATTTTTAATACTCTATCTCTCTCTTACCCTCTTATAAATAAAGACATATTTTTTATTAAAAAATTCTTTAGATGTTTATTACTGTTCATAATATTAACAAATTTATGATTAATATATCTCATAAAAAGGACCAGAGATAGGATAAGATGTTACTCTATCTTAAATCTCATTAACTTTGCCTCAAAATTTAACATCTTTTAAACTTTATTTCTATTTGATGTATGCACTTTTGTAAAAATAAAATAATCTGCACAATAATAAATGAAACATAAAATAGTATATTAATATTAAAAATCTGATAAAATGACTTATAAATATGATAAAATAAAAACCTTCTTCCTCTCTCCTTACCAAAGGAGAGTATTCGTGTCGATCCAAAAGAGAAATGATTCAGAAGTGGCTTGACTCATGATATCATAATCCATACACAGATTGTTGTCGATGGCTCTTTAGTTAGTTGATCCTGGAGATTAAGTAAGAGATGTGAGAGTGAAAGTTGAGGGAATGACAGAGACTTGAAGAAGCTTTTGTCAGTTGAAGAAAAGGTTGGCAAAGTGTCCTTCTCCTTTAATTTCTTTTGAAGTTTTACCTCTGAATCACTTCCTTAACGTGCTGTTTGGTTGAGAATGGTGCCATCACCAACCAGTCTCGCACCCAATTTCAGTCCTTCTTGACAACGAGATGTCATTAACTCCTGACTCTGCCTCAGCCTCATATGATCCCTCAAAGATAATATGCATATCTGCCTTGCTTAGCAAGTCTAAATATATATGCTTGATGCCTGTTTTTCCCTTGCTTAAAGAGTCTAAGTATAGCTAGATAGCAGTGGTAGATAGGTGCAGTTGACGGATTCCTTACAAAAGCCATCCAATAAGAAAAGCCATCAAAATATGACCCATACACCTCTCCATATCTACGCTCACTAATTTCCATTGGGATTATTTATTTGCCATTAGCTAGCAATATATAACTATATATCCTTCATTACTTGTTTCATCAACTTTTAAGCTAGCGCGGCGCAATTCATTGCATAATCATGCATTATCCTTAATTAAACTGAATAATTATATGTCGATTTTTTGACTTAACTATTATTTCTTTAATTTTCTGAACAAAATCAAGTGCAGCTAGATATATATATATATATATATATATGCTCAATTTGACTTATATTGCATAGCACTTACAAACTCTTGTTAGAAAATAACATTTCACCTGAAGTTCCGTAAACTATTAATCCTCTCCCCCCCCCCCAAAAAAAAAGCTCCCCATTCGAAACGATGATAAAGACATAATAATCATTAATCAACAATTAAAATACCCCAAACTTAAAAGACACATCAATGACCATTAAAAAGGTCGAGTAAGATTAATTAGTATAAATCAGGTCATATCCTTCAAAAATTACTCCATTATATCTCTTCAAAACCCGAAAACAGATACACTCGCGCACTTGTTGGGTGTTTCGCAGAAGCATTATCGTGCATGGAAGAAACCTTTCATGCAGATAGCAGTTCCAACAATAGCTAGTAATATTTAGGCTTCTAGCTTGTAGCGTCAATTAATTATATAGTTGGAACCACATCTATCCTTTCTAAATTTTCTGGCTAGCGACTTTCGAACACCTCCTTTCTCGATCGTGTCCTTATATTGATTTATTTTGTGGGCTTGAGTTTGACCCATGGACATCACCAGGTGGTAGCATCCTTCCCAAACGTAAAGTTGGCTGAAATTAATCTAGCATACACGCCAAACATTCAATATATAAGAGGAATCTCTATTGTATATATACACACGGCGCCAGCAAAAAAGATAAAAGGAAAAAAGGCTGCGCTTTGATGCTCGATTGCCTGAAAGCAAAAAATTGTCTTTGACAAGAAAAAAGTTTAATAATGGAAGAATTAATCGCATAGTTTTGGAATTTCAATAATGGTTCTGAACTTCTGATATGGATGGTTTAACCGTTATTTCAAACGTGTCAATAGCTTCAGTTTCAGTTTTCACATTAAAATATTCCAGAGAAGTAAAATTCAAAGATGACAAGAATGAAGGACTAAAAATGAAAAATAACGTTAACGACACTCCAAAACTGGAATATACATGGGACCATGACGAGGAGTAGGTAAAAATCTTTTCTTGGAGACTCAGAGTCCCGATCCTTTGGAATGCTTCGTTCTTAAACCCGGAAATTTACGAGATACCTAACCGACCAAACGCTGCTCGATAATTTAGCTATATATAACCCCAAGTCTCTCATCACTTTTCTCGCAACTAATATCCAATAATTATCATTACCACTTGTGGTGGAGGCAGCAAAACTTGACCATGTTCAACAAAGTGATCCCTACCTCACTTCTTTCAGTATTGAGTCTTTTGCTTCTGCTCACCTGCTTCCTTTGGACCATCTCTGACGTTGCTGTCGCTGCTTCAAGCCATGCAGGAGGCATCACAAGGCACTACAAGTTCGATGTACGAATAATCACACTCTATGCATGCATATATATATATAATACTAGCTCGTTAGAAGTAACTTTAATTTTATACTCTCCAGGATGGCTAGTGAATTTGATTCCATTTTGTTTCCTACAGGTAAAGTTGATTAACGTTACAAGGCTATGCCACACAAAGAGCATGGTGACGGTGAATGGAAAGTTTCCAGGGCCTCGCGTTGTCGCCAGAGAAGGGGACAGATTATTGGTCAAGGTGGTCAATCACGTTGCAAACAATATCACCATCCACTGGTAATGTAATATTGGGCATGATGAGCTTCCATATTCTTATCACTTATATATGTAACGTGAACAGATAAGAAAATGTATAGATAGAAGCATGCATGAATGAATGCTTATAGTATTAATGATGGGTGAAACAACTGCAGGCACGGAGTGAGACAAGTGAGGAGCGGGTGGTCGGATGGGCCATCGTACATAACCCAATGTCCGATTCAAACCGGGGGGAGCTATGTGTATAACTTCACCATTGTGGGGCAAAGGGGAACCTTGTTCTGGCATGCTCACATCTCCTGGTTGAGGGCATCCGTCTATGGTCCCCTCATTATTCTGCCCAGGCGTAACCAATCTTATCCTTTTCCCAAACCCTACAAGGAACACACCATCCTCTTGGGAGAGTGGTGGAATGAGGATCCAGAGGCTGTTATTTCACAAGCTCTTCGGACAGGTGCGGGTCCCAATGTCTCCGATGCCTACACCTTTAACGGACTCCCTGGGCCCCTCTACAATTGCTCCGCTCATGGTATAGTACTTCAACTTCAAACACAAACACAATTCTTAATTTCTTCCTCCTCCTCCTCCTCCTCATTATTTGTTCGCCACAGTTTATTAAGCATTTGATGGTCATTATGATGATGGGCAGACACGCTCCGGATAAAGGTGAGAGCGGGAAAGACGTACCTGCTCCGACTGATCAACGCTGCACTCAACGACGAGCTCTTCTTCCGAATAGCGAACCACAGCCTCACTGTGGTGGAAGCCGATGCATCTTACGTCAAGCCCTTCACTTCCGACACCATCCTCGTCACACCCGGACAAACCACAAACGTTCTTCTCCGAACAAAACCCTTTTACCCTAACGCCACTTTCTTCATTCTGGCCCGACCCTACTTCACTGGAATGGGCACTTTCGACAATTCCACTGTTGCTGGCATTCTTCAATATCAAGCCCCCTCCAACACCAACCATGTTGGTTTGAATAGTCTTCGCCTCTCGAAACCCGCCCTTCCTGCCATCAACGACACTTCTTCCGTCGCCAATTTCAGCAGCAAATTTCGTAGTTTGAATAGTCCCGAGTACCCAGCCAACGTGCCCCGGATAGTGGACAGGCACTTCTTCTTCACCGTGGGCCTTGGGAGCAGCCCATGCCCAAAAAACCAAACCTGTCAAGGGCCCACTAATACATCCAAATTTCAGGCTTCCATGAATAACATATCTTCTGCTCTGCCTTCCGTGGCCATCCTGCAACAGCATTTCTTCGGGCTGGCTGAAAATTACACCCCTGATTTCCCGGCTTTCCCACTCACACCATTTAACTATACGGGTACGCCTCCCAATAACACCGGGGTCAGCAACGGAACTAAGGTTTTAGTCATACCCTTTAATACCAGCGTGGAGGTAGTATTGCAGGGCACAAGCATTTTGGGAGCTGAGAGCCATCCCTTGCATCTCCATGGGTACAATTTTTACGTTGTGGGTCAAGGTTTTGGGAACTTCAACCCTATGACAGACCCACAAAAGTTTAACCTTTTGGACCCTGTTGAAAGGAACACTGTGGGTGTGCCTTCTGGGGGATGGGCTGCGATACGTTTCTTGGCAGACAACCCAGGTGAGTACTGTTCTATCTCTGTTCACCGTGAATAAAATTTATTTAATTCGGAGTCCATAATTCATGATTAGAATTAGAAGTTATGGGATGAGAGTTATTTGATTTGATATGCGGGGAATGAATGAAACAGGGGTGTGGCTCATGCACTGCCACTTCGATGTACACCTGAGTTGGGGACTGAGGATGGCTTGGATTGTGGAAGATGGGAAGCTCCCTGATCAAAAGCTGCCTCCGCCTCCGCGTGATCTCCCCAAGTGCTGATTTCTTTTGTTTCTTGATCCTCCGACAAATTTCTCCATCTCTTACCCTTCTTTTCTTTCTCTACTTTGGTTTAAGCTATAGGATTTTGCCGAGATCTTTTTCCCCTCTTCTCGGCGTGGTCAATAAGGGTGAAGAGAAAACGAAAATTGGTGTCTAACTTGTGTTTTGGGTTGTGGCAGTTTGATGTTCTGAGACTCTGTCCTTGCACTAAACTATTGAAGGAAATTTCGGGTACGTGTTTTACTGGATTGTGTCTCCAGGAATGTACGTCCATCTTTTTCCAAAAGAACTGATGAATAATATATGAGATTAATTGAATATGATATTTCTTCTTTCCATTGTTGTCTTCGGTGCGCTCACCTTTTCGGCTTTTCCCCTGCAAGTTTCACGTGAACATAAATCAAATATACTTGCAGCATTCTCGCTGACCCGCCTCACCATAAATCACCTCGAACGTTTTGACTCGAGTGTTGACCATTCTAAATCTAATTCTGATGCCAGTAAAAATACTGAAGCCGCGAGGTTTACGTTCAGTAGGTTGCTCTTCCTTGACTCTTGAATCGAATACTTACTCTTGATATGTCATTATTCCCCCGCCCCCCAAAAAAGAACACAAAAAACAACACACAAAAAGAAAAACAAGAAGCCCATTGCATAGGAGTTTGATGGTATATTCTTTCATCATGATTTCCATGTAAATGTGAGAGATGAAGGGAAAGCTGCTTCACAAATGTAAACGTAAAGACCTGTTATTATGGAAGGAAATGTAAATAATAAACAAAAATAAGCTTCTGGCCAAAAAAAAAAAACTGACAGGTGAGATATTATTAGCGTTAATCTTGAATTCTCATCTCAGGCGAAGTCGAGATTTCGGGTCAATTTTTGCTATTCGCTTTCTCTTCATTCTTCCTTTCCTGGTCACGGAGCTTCTATATGACCAAAAGATCAACTTAATCAGTGGACTTGCATTTTTTCAGTTGAGCCTTGCAATAGTAAAATTGTAACGCCTGATAAAAGCCATTTTGCGAGAAAAAGATGGAGTGGTTAGTGAGAAGAGAACAGGGAATGAAGATTTCAAATCGATGATCACATTCCCACCAACTTCAAAAATGAATTGCTACGAGGTGAAGTAGCTTCAAATAGCAAAATCCCCCTTGAGGGTGTCATTGAAGTCAGGGAAAAGAACAATAAAGTATAAACGAAGTCATGTAAGTCGACGTCGCAACATTTTGGACGGAACACGTCGATCGGGTGTGTGGGAAAAAAGGAATGTGGCTTGCATTTCCTAGGCATATCTACATACTTTTTTTTTTTTATATATATATTTGCTGTCTCCAACACCCTCAAGAAGCTATAGAGAATCTATCTCTCCTCCACCAAAAAGGAAGACTTTCCCTTCTAAACCAAAACATAGAGACTGAGAGAACCACAGAGACAGAGACGGGATATCGACAGATGATGAGATAGAACAAGAGGCATGACGATAAATCAATGTGTAGTGTAATTAAAACCTTCAACTCAACTTAGTCGTCATTACAATCAAATCTATATTGAAAAATGAGAAAGAGAAAAGGTTGGATCTGTATCAGTTAAAGCCACAGAATGTAAAGTAGGCCTAGCTAGGGTGTTCTGTTCTGCTATATACTTGCTTCAAGAATTAATCTCTATGCTTGTGCCAGCAAACTAACATGGCAACACACCGCCTCATTATGTAAAACCTGGCTTTGTGTTCCTTGGCCAAATCGGTGCATTTTTTACCTATGGAGGTGGAATTCTTTTGGGAGAAACTCCTGGGAAGATTGGACTTGGAGCTGGAGGACGATGCAGAGGAAGGAGCCTTGTGAGAAAAGCTTCGAAGCAGAGGAGAGTTAGAAGTAGAGGAGCTTTTTGCTGAGGCACTCCTGGCGAATACTGACTTGCTGTCACTAGAGCTCCACGCTTGGCCGCTTGAACTCGAGCCTCTTTCCTTCTTTGATACCTTCCACTTGTCGTCCATCACCCACACGCCAACTTATAACAGCAACGCCTATGGCTATCACCCACCTTGTGCCTCCCTCTTTGTTTCTGTGGTCTATTTATTCTTCTTTTCTTTTTCAAGGAAAAAAAGGGAAACTTGTACTGTTTCGTGGTGAATTTAAAGAAGCAATAAGGAGCATATATCCCAAGGTTTTTGTTGCGAAGGGGCGCAATGGTTAGAATGAGGCGATGATGATTAAGTGATTCGACAAGGTTCAAGCTGTGCGTTCGGTCAAGATGCCTCTTGCTATAGCAGAAAATGTGCACATGGATGAATGCGCCCCTGACATCACTCTGCATCCTTCCTTGATAGTCAAAAAGAGGGCTTCACTTCACATAACAATTAATGATTTAATTATGTTCATGAATCCCTCCCGTTTTCCAAGGAACATGACTCTTGTTTGTCAATTCCCACTCTAAATAATCTGGCTTCGCTTTTCCCTTTAATTCTCAGGTTTAAAAATGAAATAAAATATGGCATGAGCTGCATCATAATAATAATCATGGTAAAGCATTATTCGTGGTAAAACAGAGAAGCGGTAGATATGGTCATCGCTCCAATAATATTCCATCTTCACTCCTCCTTCTGCATCATATGCATGGAGTCGGTGCTGTTTGTTGGGTTGTGCATCTACATTTGCTTCCCCTATAAAACTAGAATCCATTCCTATGCTCATTATAAAATTATTAGCAGCGGCGTATATATATTACTATATTGCTAGTTCTTCCTTAGGGATTAATCTAGAGAGTCCTGGATTCACAAGCACATGGCACTTATGTGAGAAGAGCAGTAGTTAGAAGCCTTCCGCAGTGATGAAGCTGTACATTTTGATTTGAATATTCTCATCTAATTAAGTGTGCTTCTGGCTGCTGCTGAACTTGACATGTGAAGGATTTTGATCTGAAGCGTTTTTATATATTGAAAGAAAAACCTTTCGTTATGAAGATTATCATTTGACCGGTCAAAAATTTTGCGGAGCATGCATGTGCAAGTCATGCTAATTAATTTGACGGGGTAATCAAAACTCAAAAGCAGAGTAAAACAGAGAGAGATTTTTGAGGAGGCTGACCGATGGAGCCCAGAGGAGGGCTTTTTGTGAGGAGTGTGTTGCAATAAGAACAGCAGAAATGCACAAAGGTCGTGAAATTCTGAGGCGCCCACAACCAGAGAAACGCAGGGGGCAAAAACAAAGTGAATATATGATGAGAAACAATCAGCAGGAAGCATGAATGAGGAATGGTCAAAATCAAGTCACGTGGTGTGTTGCGGTTGGCGCAAATGAAAATCCTCAACATGTTTCAGAATTTTTTGTTTGGCGCGAGGGGAAGAGCGGCACGTGCAGACATGTGAGGTGCACGTGGGATGGTCAGGGTGGGGGCGGACGGCTCAGAATGGTAAATGTATAGGAGATGGCCCTTCAACACAAATCTGTTTGTGTTTTCCCTTTATTCCCACTTTAACAGCTTAACTGTGATGGATATGATGGGAGGCTTACAACTTACAAGCTACTCTTGAACCTTAAGACGTTATAATTTGAATTTGGAAGGGACAGATTATTCTCCTGCAGCTGTGATTATCATTTCACTGATCTCACCAAGTCTGTTTGTGTTTTTATTCTTAACTAATAATTTTATTAGTTTGACTGTGATATTGTTGGAAGGGTTATTATACGTTCTACTTTTTCAAATCTTACAAGGGACAGATTCTGCTGCACAGTACGCCATTACGCATATTGGCCCCCAGCTTTTCTGTTCGCCATCAGAAATTAAAATACTCATACTTTCATATATCGTCAAGATCTTGCATATCCACAACACAAAAACAAATTTGTACAGAAAAACAAGAAACCCTCTAACATCGGAGTTAAAGTGAAAAAGCTAGAGAGAGGAAACCAAAGGGGGTGGAAATATAGGAACTCAACCGGCACGCTTCCTTAGAAAACAAAAGGAAGCTATTGCACTGTGCTGCATTTTCACATCATAATAAAGGATAACTCTAAGATGTTGGCCTACAGCCTTCATTTTGAGGATTTCCTATTAATCAAACGCAAACATCCTCTTTCATTTCATTATATTGTTGAATTTTAGCGATGGATCCATCCATATATCCACTTTTCTTAATGATTTTTACTTTACAGTTCTTCTTCGAAGTCTTTACCGACTTGAATCTTAAGAATGTATATAGCTATTGCTAGGATGATCCTTGCTATTGAGCATATTAACTAGATAATAAGAATTACGTAAACATATATAAAAGGACACAATAGTAATAACAATGATAAAATGAAATTTGTGTCCGCAATGCAATCGCACGTTCATATTAAAGCGTGTGCGTGTGTGTGACACTCCAAATTAGATTTCAAATGATGCCCTTGATATTTTAATTTATGTTGCTGTCAGCTACATATGTTCATGCTACTGTCTCCCCTTAAAGCAAAACACAGAATGTGAATGAAATTAAAAATTCAGTCCTCCATGACTTCTATACTTGCATGATGTTGTCCAATTATTATCTTTTTTTTTTAAGCTGAGTTCTCTAATGATTATCAGAGTATCAGGTGCATTTCAAACAAGAATATAGAAGAAAAAAATCACTGCTAAAGGTTGATGTGCCTCACAAGGGAAAGAGTTGTAGTAACCAGCATCACTCATCATATTTCTTAGTGTGTTACTACCCATCCAAACTAAGTTAACCGAAATTAAATTAAATTATAAATTAATTTAATGTTTTTTAAGCTAAGTAGCCTCATTAAATATCCCGGGCCATTGAGAGCATATGCGACATCCAACATTATCAGATCGCGAGCACACGACATGTTGGATGGACTCTTCCTTCCAAACCGTGGGGACTCTTAGCTGATTCATTAATTCCCCCATAACATTCATGCATGTGAAAGCAGGTCATAAGGGGTCAAACTTCAATCCAAGCAATAATAATTATAAAAAAAAAAAATATATATATATATATATATATATAGGGTTTTAAAGTTTCTCACCATCATGTTGGCAAAGCAGTCCACAAATGTTCAACATGGATATCTGTCAATGATTCGGCTTCATCAAATCTCGAACGATCATTTAGGACAGGAATTTCCACGCTCCCCGTGTTTTAGAAATTGATTAAAATATTCAAATACAGTAAATTATTGTTCCTAATGTTTCATTCTCAATCTAAAATATTCTAAATGGGCACCTTGGTCCATAGCTATGCGATAGAGCCTCAACTTTATGAAGATTTTGATTCTTGAAAAATATATCACGATATAATATACCCCTCCGATTCTTAATATAAGGACTATTTAACCAATTTAATTAGATTAAAGAAGTTAGGTAAATTAGTTAATTATAAGAAATGTGACATGTTTTTTTTAAAATACCATAATCATCTTTCTTAATACTCCATCTTCCTCTTCTACTTGATTATGGTTAAGAGAGTATTCATAGAGGTAATTTAGAAAAAATTGATAAATATGATAAACGAGTCTTATATTTAGGATCAAAACTAGGACTGGTAATACGGGCCAACCCGCGGGTTGCGGGTTGGCCCGTGGCGGGTTGAACCCATGGCGGGTCGGGCTGAGAAGGCTCGTTTGAAAGCGGGTTGGCTTTTAGCCAACCCTAACCCGCCAAGGTGGGTTGGTGGGTTGGCCCGCCAACCCGCTAACATTTATTTATTTATTTATTAAAATATTTTTTTACTTTTTAATATTTTTTCTTATATAATATTTAAAAATAATAATAAACTTTTTGTTTTTTCTTGAAATATTTGATCAAAAGTACCAAATAAATTATATAAGTATTTTTTAATATTTTTTTAGATAGGATATACTATATAATAATATAATTATAATAATTAAAAAATTTTTAAAAATAAAAAAAATAAATGTGGGTTAGCCCGCGAGTTGGCGGGCTAACCCGTGGCAGGTTGCGGGCCTGGCGGTGCGGGTTAAAAAGGCTCGTTTATTGGCGGGTTGGTTTTTGGCCAACCCTAACCCGCCATTTTTGGCGAGTTGGCGGGTTGAACCCGCGGGTTCAACCCATATTACCAGCTCTAATCAAAACCAACTCAACTATTGGGTCTTATATTAAGGACCGGAGAAGTATATACATAAGAAATAAGTCAAGCACATAAACCTGAATAGATTATGGCTTGCTATTAATCATCATGAATAATGAATACAAATCTATATATTTCTAACTTTCTAAGATTCAGAAAAAATAATAAAATGTTTTGAGGGGGAAAATAAGTGTCGGTCTATGAATTTGATTCTACGGAGGTGAATGGGCGCGTGATGGAGAGGAGAGGGCAAGGGAGAAGAGCTAATATAAAAACTAAATAGAGTGAAACCAATCACAGGGATTTTTCTGATCATATCGAAATCTTCCAAAGGAGTTCAATTTGGGTACAAGTATTTAATTCTTATTGAAAAGAAAAATCGTTTCTTTAATCTGTCTTTCTGGCAAGGATGTACCAATTTAATTTGAAATCCACGTAAACTCGGAAGCCCAGCACCTTCATCACTATATATGGATCTTTTACAATCAGCAAAAGCTTCAGCTAGCATCATACATATAAATCAAATAGATACTGAGGTAATTAACACCTAACATATGCGCAAGATCTCTATTAACATACGGTACTTCAATTTTTATTCTAATAAAAAAAGGTTTGTCGAACCTGGTTCTATCCATCGATATCCTCAAAGTATATAAAATGCCCATTATCCATATCGGCGACACCCAAAAAAACAAAAAAAAAAAAAAACCAGCTTTTTTGATGTTCTACGACCCACAACTTTCCAAGTGCGCTTCATAGATCCTCCTTTGATGAATCACTTAACAAGGGATGGCGCTACCATATGAAATGGTGCTCCAGCAGTGATTCTTAATTAATTGAGGCACCTCGGTCAGGGGTTAAAGCCCTACTTTTTCTCTCCGATAAGCTATACTGGGTAGAATGAGTTTCTCAATTGACACCTTGGTGATTCATGTCTACTTTTTGGTTCCTTTATGTAAGAGATTTATAAAATTCAAACATATATGTTTGAGCAGTTGTATATATACATGGAGAATCTTGTACTTGTTATCATCCAGCTAGATGGACATTTTCTTTTATAAAACATGCATGTACTCTCATTGGAATCCCACCACAAAGAGGTCAGTGATTTCCTGAGAAAATATACCTTACAAACTATAATGTTTTGTAAGCTCAGACTCAGACTTTGATTTTTTCTGAACATGAATTATAATTAACCTCCACGTGATGCACTTGGACAGGAGTGGCTCTTGACGAAAATACAATACATATTAAAAGAGAAGGCATCAATAAACAATAGAGATAATGCTTTTTAAATCTCTGAAATCTCAATGTAATGAGGGCTTGATGGATGTATATTATGTCGAAATTTTTACTTTTCAGGCCTTCAGCAAGTTAACAAACAGAAAGATGATAGAGAAGCATGCATGACAAGTATGTGTGCCTGTGATTACACACACAGGCCGGCCCAAAGCTTACCTTGATATCAGGAAATTAAGAATTCCGATTGAGATCGGTTAAGATCCAAAACTCAGCGGGAAGCAAATAGTCATAGATTTGCCAGTGCAGCATCATCAAGATTCCCACTACCATAAGAGCAGTGTGAATCTTAATGATGCCGCACTTGCAGATCAGACTGTGGTCTTGTCAGTCTTCTTCTCCATCCTGATCAATTGATGATGCCGCGCCATTATATATATGTGGGTAGATGAGAAAATTACTACAAGTGAAGGAAAATAAAGAAGATATAACATAATTAATTAATAAATAATGTAAGCAATAAAGGTAATTAATGAACCCAGCCTCATAGATATAGATTCAAAGATGAAAGACCTGCCATCCCGGGTGACAAGGCTTTTCTCGATTGGTTACGTACTGGCACCGAAAGTTGATTAAGTAAAGTCTCAGATTTCTGAAGAAAATTTGAGATTATTGGATTTGCGGGGTGAGAATCAGGTGAAGAAAAAGGGCTTTGTATGAGGGAAATTAATAACAGCTAGAAACAAGTCAGCAAGAGTTCTTAATTCTGGTTCGAACGATCGTATTCGTAGCGATCCCCAGAAGAAGAAAACACGAGACGCCCAAACATATAATAATCATATACCTGACTTCATGCAAACACAGAGCCAAGTAAAAAGCTGCTAATTAGAACCGTTCCTACCTTTATTCAACTGTGGTCCTTGGCTTGCAGCCAGTTCTATATACATACCCTAAAAATCACAGAGGCCTGGCGGGGTTCGTGTTCTTGGGAGACTTCAGATGACGGTGGGTGCGCCTTTATATATACCAGCGATCTCTAGTTCGCTCTTTATTAACATATATTTACATGTGTGTGTGTGTGTGTGTTTTCTTCTATATATAGGCCTAATTCTGCAACCCTTGTCGAATCGCTTACTAAATGTTTGGTGGCAATACGTGTCATTTGTAAAGAAAAGAATAAGAATGCGTTGGGTTGGGTTGTTTCCATGCTAGCAAGGTTTTATGATGCGGTATGCCATCCGTTAATATATATTTCCTTCTATTAAACATAATTGAGTAATTAGCAGGATATAATTAGTGGAGGAATCTTGACGATTTTTCTTTTCGTCGAAAAATTGCTGCCCAGAATATTCCCAATCTCTTAATCAAGTCACGACGCCATTGGCATATGCCTATGAATGCAAATAATTCGCATGTTCCTTACACCGAAAAAAGTTTATTATTCCATTTTATCTTCAGAGGAAATATGTTAACGCATGCATCGAAATTTATCAACATCGGTGGGATCGAAGTCATGAGATTTAAACCGTGGAAATATAGCTTGATTAGTTAGCTGTGTCGTTCATAACATCAAAGAGCCCGAGTAATATATTGAACCATAAACGCCCTACACATACGGGAATGAAAGACGGTTAGTTAGATAGCAGTACTTGATTGACGAAATTTCATGAGAGCAGGATATCCAACAAAGATTTCGTTACTTTTTATATACATCAAACTTGCTGATGATCAATAGTATGATTCATTTTTATAATTCTAAATTAAAGAAGTTGCATTAAAAAAAAATAGCATCAGAATCACAGTCATTATTTGACACATACATATTTATATATATGAAATAATGGACGGGTCCTCGTGAGCATATTCAATCATACATGAAGTTAATCATGCTTTTTCTTTCTTAGATTCGTTTAGATTACAGATGCTGAGCTATGATGATGAGGTGACTAGAAAAGGGACAAATCCATTGTGTTTATCTGAAACACCAAAACTCACCATTAAGATCATAAGTCAAGCACTCAAGCCCTTGATCCATTGCCCTAATGCCAAAGTAGGTCCTGGCATAGAGGAGGCGGAGAATTCTATTCTATTCTATCCCCGGCAGGGCCAGTTTGGCCTCCTTTTCAATTTAAAAAGAAAAGATTATTTTTAATTATGTGTGTTTATTTATTTTGCGCCATTTGGCCTAAAAAATAGTACCCTGCTATAATAGTCACATGCAGTGAGCAAAGTTGGAGTAAGTGGTCCATAACTTGCAATAGAATGATGACAACATGCGGGCCGACGTGTAAAGTGACAGAAAATACTTAAACATATTTATGGCTAATTGCTTTTTAACTTTTGTCCGCCATTTTGTCAAACGAACCCCACCGTTACTATATATTACGATCATAATCCGTGATCTCGTGAAGATTTAGGTACTGTTTTAAACCGACGTCAGGATTGAGATTTACGGCGTGTTTCGGATCGTCAACGTCAACGGAACCAGTAAACCAATTCTCAAAGTCTTGTTTGAAAAGCGAAATATGATTTTTGCTCAAAAAAAAAAAAAGAAAAGCGAAATATGATAAGGTTGAAGATAAAATCGCGTGCGTGTGTATATATATAATGTATATGTGTATATACGTATGCATGTATATATTGCCCTGGCCAAACAAGGAATGATAGGACGAATGATTGGGTACCGAGCAATTCATGGTGGACCCGTCCAATAAAACAGTGCGGGCCATCTTTCTATTTTAACAATGCCGAGTCGTGGATGGGAAGATGGAGGCCCAAACCTGGGCCCATTGATGTTTATTACCCCCATCCAAACGTGATTAAAAAAGGACATGACTGCATAGGATTACGACGCCCCATGAGCGCATGGAAGAAAATGGAAACGAGAAGGGAGCATTATGAGCAGTGACGCCATATTTAAAGTAAGAGAGAGCCAGGACCAGCATGGCGTTGAAATTTTGGCAAGGTGATTAGCTGACCGGAAATGAGAAGCCGGCGGCAGCATAGAAAGTGGCAGAAAACGAAGAAATGAGAAGGCGGAGGAAAGCAACAACCAAAATATGAGTTGAAGAGGATGAAACAGAAACGGGAAAATGAAGGTGGGGTGATGATGAAAGGGAAGAAGCCATGAGCGGAAGCTTGGTGCCAGAGTAATGCTGCTTGGCTCTCATGAAGTCGGAAGGGGAGAGGGCAAGGCAATTCTCAGGTGGGGAGACCTCCCAAGGAACGCGTGTCCTGCAGAGAGGAAATCAAAACTTAAAAGCATTGCAATTCCCACACACAGAGAGAGAGAGAGAGAGAGAGAGAGATGCAGATCTGTAGGTGGTATTTGGAAAGCACAGGCCCCTGAACAGATGGGGAGGTGATGGCAACTCGGGGACACGTGGCCGCCCTCCCCCATGAGAAGCACTGAGAACGCAACACAACACAAGCACCCACATCTCACATCATCTCAATTCTCATCTCGCAAGTCGTGAACCCATATCCCCAACGCCTTCTCTTTCGTGGCCCTCCTCCCCTCCCTAACATTTCCTCTTTTAAAATTCCGAGTTTGATTTCCGAGGATGACCCTCCCCTCCTCCCTCTGTGGCCTCCTGCCCTGCTCACACGTGTCTGCTTCCCTCCTCCCATTTCCTCACGCCCTCTGCCCCGCGCGTCCTCAACCCCACCAACTTCGTTCTCTCTATCATGTTACCTCTAATTCCATGATTAATGACAAAGTAAATACTCATCACTAATGCTGTCTTATTTTACCCTGCTATCGTCACAAAATACTAGTTAGTATTCACCTTATAAATGATGGATACATTCACACAATAACCTTTTAAAGAGTGAAGGTCGAAGAAAGAGGGGGGCGCAGTAATTAATCATCTTTACATCGATATCACCGATCTTAGTCTCCGTCTCCCAAACTCGGTATGTTTTATTTATTTTAAACATTTTCATGCAGATGCACTTGTCAGCTTGTTTCATCGTGTTGTTACTTTCTAATTTCTTGGACGTATAGCATCATCTTAACGGGCAATATGTAGGCAGACGTTTCCATGACAGTGGTGGTGACGGCTGTCCCAGAACGGAACCCCACAACCATATGCGCTGAGTCGACTCTGGAGGGGCACTTCAGCTCTATAAAAGAGCTCAACCCTCCCCTTTTCACGCCGCCCTCTTCCTATCTTCCGCTCTCTATTTATTATCGTACTCCGGCCATGCACCTCTTCCTCCTCCTCTTCCTTTCCTTCTTCCTTCTTCGACTCCTCTTCGTCCAATGGCGTCGCTCCCGCCACAAACGCTTGCCCCCCGGTTCCGTTGGTTGGCCCTATATAGGCGAGACCCTCAAGCTCTACACGGAGAACCCGAACTACTTCTTCTCCAACCGTCAAAAACGGTAACCACTTTCCCATATATATTAATTCTCTCCCGCCTTTGCCCCATGATTTGATATGACAGTGTGTGTGTGTGTGTGTACTTAACACTTTATCAGGTACGGTGACATATTCAAGACACATATATTGGGATGTCCATGCGTGATGATATCAAGCCCCGAGGCGGCCAGGACTGTGCTCGTCACTCATGCGCACCTGTTTAAGCCCACCTTCCCCCCAAGCAAAGAGAAATTGATCGGCCCCGAGGCCGTCTTCTTTCAGCAGGGTGCTTACCACTCCATGCTCAAGAAGCTGGTTCAGGCCTCTTTTTTACCCTCTGCTCTTAAGAACTCTGTCTCTGAGATTGAGCACATCGTTCTCAGATTGCTCCCCTCTTGGAACCACGCCACCATCAACACCCTCCAAGAAATGAAAAGGGTACGTCCCTTTCGCCTTTCCGTTTGTATATGTCGGTCGGTTACCAACAACATGTGCTTCAGCATACTCAGCGGATTCTGTTGTTCTTGTGGTTTGTTTTAGTATGCTTTCGAGGTGGCGGTTATCTCGGCCTTCGGCGAAACCAAGGAAGTCGAGATGGCAGAAATCAAAGACTTGTATCGGTGCTTGGAGAAAGGCTACAATTCCTTGCCTTGGGATCTTCCTGGAACTTCCTACAGAAAGGCAATGAAGGTACTGTAAAGTTTTGGACTTGCGCCCTGTTTCTACCCCATCTTAACTAATCTCTCTCCCACTGTCTTTCTGATAATATCCCTTTTACATTATATAAAGGCCAGGGAGCTTCTGAATGAGACCATAAGGACGCTGATACGTAGGAGAACGGAAAGTGAGAAGCATGAACGAGGGTTATTGGGAATTCTATTGCGAGCGAGGAATCAAAAGATGTATCAACTCACTGATTCTCAGATAGCTGATAATCTCATAGGCGTCATATTTGCTGCCCACGATACCACTGCTAGTGCCATAACATGGGTTCTCAAGTATCTGCACGATAATGTCCATCTTCTAGAATCCGTGACGGTAGAATCATCTCAAATCTCCTCCACATTAATTTTACCAATTTTTTTCCCTTAAATATGCTTCACTGTCAGAGCATATGCTTCCAAATGTTTCAGAAAGAACAGGAAGAGATTAGAAGCAAACTTGTTGAGGAAAATCGGGGCCTTACGTGGGATGATACCAGGCGCATGCCATTCACCAGCCGGGTAATTTTATTAATTAATTTAAACATATGAGCAAAGGTTGTGGTTGGGTTTGCTGAAATGAGAATGGAATTCTCAGGTAATTCAAGAAACGCTGAGAAGTGCAAGCATACTGTCATTCACATTCAGAGAAGCGGTGAGAGATGTTGAGCTGGAAGGGTATTCAATTCCTAAGGGTTGGAAGGTGCTTCCCCTCTTCAGAAGCATTCATCACTCTGCTGATTTCTTCCCTCAACCCGACAAATTCGACCCTTCCAGATTTGAGGTAATTAATAATGAACGTTACATGCACCACAGTATACAAGAGAGACGATAACGATGATTTCCAAATATAACCCCAAAACTTCTTTCTACATATATCGAGTGGGAGTGGCGAAAGGGATTTGTGACCAAGAGCTATAAAGCCAGGGGATAGGGGAGTGTTATTATGTGTTATCTGGTTATGTCAGAAACACAAGGTTATCAATGGCTAGATTATCCTGTGGTGAGGTCCTTTTCATGTCCTCTATGAACCTTCTCCCCTATTTTGGTGATTCTTGTGTTGAAATCCTTCGGGTTTTGAGAGCACGTGATCCAGTTTTGTAGGCTAGTACAAATAATTCCCACAGTGGCTTTTCTGTTCATTTAATTTACGCGAGTAGCTAGCTGGTACAGTAGTAATTAAGAAATTAAGTACAACAGAGAAATGGGGTTTGACGTTTATGTGATGATGAAGGTGCCACCGAGACCAAACACGTACATGCCATTCGGGAAAGGAGTCCACTCTTGTCCAGGCAGTGACCTGGCTAAGCTCGAGATTCTCGTCCTCCTCCACCACCTCGCCATTTCTTACAGGTATTTTTCCTCACCCCTCTTTCTGAACCCAAATTGATTTCACAAGCCAAATTAAACACGACGATGCCTCATGAAACCAACAAGCACACAGATATCTCTGATCCCTCACTGCTTAGGCTTGGCTGGTGATGAGTCTCGCCCTGCCCATCCATAACATCAGTTCTAAATGTAGATGGGTCCATAGTCCATTGCTAGAGAATAGATCTTTTACGAAGCTTTACAAAAGTAGTTTTGTCTACCACCCTAGATCTTAGTTGACTATGTAAAGGTGATTGTTAATGGTGGTCCTTGCAATGGTGTTCCTTGGGCCTTGGAAGTGGTCCTTCGCGTTAAGGTGTGATAAACAATATAAGATTTCCATCGCAACTGAACACCACCGAAAGGCTGTTTAGAATTTAACGTTCCTGTATTCAATCCGTATACGTGGCTAACATGCAGAATATATTGTAGTTATGTAAACTTAGGATATTTACAATTCTATCCATAAAAAAGTATTGTAAGTAGGCGGGCCAATCATTACCAATTAGATTCACTTATTTACATGTCTATATCGATAATTATTGTGATGCATGGACATCATGCAGCCTGAGCAAGAGGCTTAAAATAGAACGAGACATGTCACTGTGTATGCCACTTGATCAACGTATGGCGTTTGACGACATCTGTATTACTATCTTGGTGAATCAGAATATGGTCCTTAAAATTTACAAATTATATCACTTAAAAAACTTTCGAATGGAGCAGAAATAACAGTAAAATGAGTCCACTCAAATTGCCAGCTGCCGAGTCTTGATCAAATGGCAGAAACACATGTTGAGAGCCAGCTGTGAAAACCAAGACAAAGTCCCATGTTGTTAGCAGTCAAATTGAAACAACCAAGCTTTACTTGACACCACACGTACCTCTGCACAAATAGGCACCACACCATTTTTTCACACTGTCGTCTGTCTCAGATATTCATTCTGAAAGCCGACCCCACCTGCTCAATTTTCCCTTTTAATCTGCTTCAAAGGATCCTGGACTTTATCTTAAAAGATAAGCATACCCCGTGCCTGCCATTAGTCCCAAATTGACAAGACGCATATACATTTTTGGTATCCTGATAATCAAGTGATGTAGGGGGAAAACCGAGGAGTTTGGATGTTTTAATTTGCCAAAAATGTCAATTTCTTCCCAGACAGATTTGGTCAATTTTGTACTGACGCTCTTTTGATTGGTGCTTTAGGTGGCAAGTCGTGGGAAATGAAGATGGTATTCAGTATGGTCCTTTTCCTGTGCCTAAACATGGATTACCAGTAAGGATAACCCGAGGAACAAGACAGTTACCTGAGACGCTGCAGATTTCATTTCAGGCTTGGGAGTTAAGACCTTGACTCAACAAACACGTCCAAACCGGTGGGGCCTAACCAATGCATTCCCACCCCAATCAAGATCTATCTTCTTCCCTTTTTTTTTTTTTTTCAATTTTCTTTCGTCCTCCCAACATGAAAGACTCTTGGGATGGATTTAGCACTGATTACAGTGCGTACCTATCTACATAGAATTGTAAACTGTGTTTCCGAAGAAAAATATATACAATTTTTTTTAAAAAAAAAATTACCAAATGGAAATAAGCATATGTGAGTGTGGAATGAAGTTCGTGAATCTCAAGGATCAATGTGAGTGTGATTTTAATATGGGTAAGGTCATAAGGGAGCCTGCTGGTCCGTACACATCCTTCAACCGCCCTACCTGTGTGTGAAACCTTTATAACTGAGACATGGTATCGCTGGAAGAGATTTTATTCTTTAACAGAAATTAACTGATTTGACCAAAAAAAAAAACAGGAAATTAACTGATACATCAAGTCCTAAGAAGGGAATAATATGGTGTACACATAATTTAGTGAGACCCAAGTCTAACTTATCTATATATCTTCTGTCACGGCGAACTCAATCCATAGTTTCTTATTGATTGATTGAATGAAGCAGAAATGAGACTGGACATGGCCGCACAATGTTGACAACCAGGAAACCCATTGCATGGCACGTGGCATGAGTGGGGTGTTGATGATAAATCTCCACGCGGGCAGTGTTTCAGCACCCAAATGAAGCCCTACGTGGCTGACTGACCATGCCGTATTGGATTTGTTGCGAGCAGAGATCGAAGACAAAAACTTAACATATTTTGTCAATCTTTATAACATAGAAGACAAAACCTGGAATCTCCAAAAATTACTTGTCACTCGAAGGTGGGAAAAGTCAATATTTCCCAACCAAAATCAATCCCCCCACAAGCATAATGTATGGTCACAAATCATTGTCCATTTTTCTGACGAGGTGGAGTGCTCTGTCTCGTGCTAACAATCATGATAAGCAATGAAAGATCCATGCCTTTCCCACAAGCTCGCCTCTTTTCCTCAATAATCATTTTCTGACTAAATCCGATATTTGAATTATATATTTTGTTCTTACACTGACCATCACGCCCAAGGTTTACTACCCTCCAAGGTGGAGGTCACCAAGGGTTTGTTTGTTAGTCCCCATTTGTCTTTCACAAATGACTGATCCTGCCTTTGATCTGGATTGGGGGTCAAATGATAACTAATTCTTGTATTGAGAAAGCCTTTTAATTGTTGCGTGCGGTAATAATTTCGGGTTTCACGGGAGAATAAATGAGACACAGGGGGAAAATAAAAGAAAGAGTGGCATACTGGTTAAGCTCTGCGGCATCCTGCGCCGATTTTCGCCATTCAACAGAAATAAATCAACACGTACAACTCTGGACAAGAGATACTACCCGTCTATAATTACAAGAGTTAGTTGACTAATTTGAAAATGTTAAAAAAAAATAAGTTAAGTTAGTTATTTATAATAAATAGATTTTCTTTACTAAAATATCATTGCTATTTAAGTGTGTTGGTTAGAACTACTATTATTAGAAAGACTACCTTAGAAACAAATACATAAATATTAGAGACAAAGTAGATTAGAATCTTATATTCAGAATCAAAATAAAAATCAAATAATATCTTATATTAAGAGCATGAGGTAGTATGTTTTAACGAGAACTTCTTTCCTGTGAAAGCTTGAAAATATGACTCTTCATTCGTCACGTCTGACTCTCTTGACAAGAGCCTAATGAGACGCAAAGGGTTCAGGTTAGATGACCTTCCAAACAGAAAGATAAATATGTCCCAGAAAGCGTGTCAATAATCCATTGCTCATGTTCTGTGCTTCAGCTGGAAGACAGAGTATGTGGATACCTCCCTATAGAACCTTGCGTTAGAATATACCACTACCTCCATTATCTAATATAAAAACTTAGATTTTTATTTTAGCCCTAGATATAAAATCACAATTCATTTTATTTAAAGTGAGATAAATATGAGAAATAAAGCATATTAGAATCTTATATTTAAATCTAAAATAGAAGTCAAACGAGCTCAAGAGGAGGTAGTATTAATTTGGGGAAATTTTCACAAGCATGTTCGAAACAATAGGTTGACAAGCTTCTGACTTCCGTTTTCCGTCAAATAAAGCAGATGATGCTGGTTTCTCAGATTCTTTGTAATCTAAAGATTGGGCAAAATCAACTCTCAGTCTGTCTTAACATTAAATTATTCTTCTTGCAGGTGAGGATTTAGTTTCAACTGCATCAGTGTAACACTTCCTGTTGCTATAAGCAGCCATTGTGGTGTCACCGGTTGCAAACGTGTAGCTCCTTACGAAGTCCCTAAGCTGCAAGCGATTGAGGAAGAGAGAGAAAATATTGACAGTCACAGTACCAGAAGCATTTATCATCAAAGTTACCATGAGTGAAACATTACTAACAGATCTTCAAGATTGAAGATATCTCAGAGTGAGGCCGCAGTTTCACATATTTTCCCTTAGAAAGGCTTATATGTTTCTCACTCACAATGACTACTTCTTGAAAAACCAATATCAAAATTAAATTAAATTTGAACGACCAAAAATTATATTAACCCAGATAAAATATTTATGAGCTTACCAAAATGATCAAGGGCTGAAGGGGGCATGATGATGGGAGGCAAAAGAAAATCTCAAGCAAATTTACAGCCACCCAAAGTCATTGAGATTTAATAGACATTCGTATCATAGAAACAGAACATTAAGAATTCGCACACATGCTGTTATAGCCCTCCTCAAGATGTACTGTAGATAACATGGAGAAGTTAAAACTAGTTTGCATCAAAAAACAACTCAAGGAAATGCCAGCCTCAATACACACACGAGGAAAAGCTGCATTATTCTGACCATTAATAGTGATGACTCTATTGAACAATCTCGCGATACTTAATCCAAGTAAAATATGCATAAGTTCAGCCAGACATGAATCTGTTTCAAGTTTGCTCCTAATTATCTTTAAGGCTGCAAAGCCAAAACAAATTACATTGTAAAAGATTACAAACTGGGCACTTTTACAATTACAACAAGGGCGGGGAAAACTGCGAGTAGATAAGTTATTTGCAACACTTATAAATGATTGATCACTGATTTTTTTCTTTTCTTTTTTTATTTTTAAATTGTGCCATTAAATGCAAAGGAGAAGCTAGAAATAACCCGTTGACGTACCCCATTGTAAGGGGGTTCGCAAGAAGTTTCCACAGGCTCGAAGGTTAACAATAATAGTCTGATACCAACAAGAGTTGGTCTAATTAGTAAGAAGTCGGCTCATAACTCATAAGGTCGTGAGTTCGAATCCCGCTGCTGATGTAAAAACCTTGTTGGTGGGCGATCTGTAAGTACCTTTGTAAGTATTCTCTGAATCTGGAGGTATGCCTTGGCCCTGGTGAGTCTCGGGACTCAACTCACCCAAACTTTTTGTTACAAAAAAAAAACAATAATAGTCTGATGGCTCAAGAAATAAATGAACACCCAAGTCCGATAGCATAGGAGATATTGCGAACTCAAGAACTTCTAAAAATTTGTTGGCAAAAAAAAGAAATCTAAAAATTTACCGTATGTATTTTTTTTTTTCACCAGAAATTTACTATATGTAGCTGCCCCACAAAAAGTTTGTCCTTTCTATAAAAGCATATAGAAGAACTGAAGAACCATGCAGAAATTTTTTTTGGTGACACGGGCTTCTAAACTGTACTTGGGCACCCGACCCAAATCCGATACGAGGACATAATAGTCATTTAAGGAAATTTGAAGAATGAAGTCATGATCTTGCAAGATAAATAAAAAATTGAAAATAAAATTGCCCTTAACAAGCCCTAATTTTGGTTCCCGCTGAGAAGATATAATTTCGAGTGGAGGTGAAGCTTCGATCTTGGCCAGTCTGGTGGAGGTTCGGAAATCATAATGGCAAAGCGAGAGCTTTCCAGCACACTCAAGAACTTGAAGGTAAGAAACTAGGAATTTAACGCGCTCCTTTTGGCTTTTCATGTATAATTGTTCAAATTAGATTCTGATGAGATTTATTTCTTCGGCTTCTCCTGATTATTTTTCGGTTCAAGATTTCATATTTGCATTCTTTTTTTGACTTGTTACTGGGATAATATTTCTGTTTCGACAGTTCATGCAAAGGGCAGCTCTGAGAGATGATAAGTTCAAGAAAGAGGATGAAGTGAAACCTGATGGAAATATTTTTGAAACTGCTACAATAAGTAGAAAATGGTAATTTTCATTTTCTTTCATCCTTCCAAATGCTAATTTGAACTTCAGTCTTGCAAAAAACGTGTTGATTGTGCTGACATGGTATCAAAATTTTCTGATACAATTTTCACCTCTTTAATTAGCGTAATGGGTATTGGATTGATGGTCAGCTGGGGCTTTGTTGTATATACATCAAATTAGGGCCCCTTATTTCTCATTAGGTTTTCACGTGTCTTAAATCTGCTTTTCTTCTTAACAATAAATATCAGTCTTGTCGAGAGATCCAGCCATTACTTCTGATCATACGAACCAAAACAATCCAAACTGATCAAGGGTTGGCAGAGTGAATATAATAGGTTTTACAAATTACTGAACTGATTCTAGTCTTCTGTTGCTAAGTCGTCCAAGTCTTATCTATCGGGTGTCTACCATTGGCTAATTTTTTCTCTGTTTTTCTATTACCAACTGCGGGACATCTGTTTTACCTTATATCTTATCATCTTTGGCAAATGAGTGACTTTGAAAATTCTTTGTGAAATTTGAGATCCTGTTATCACTAGTGAAATATGCTGTGGCATTTTACCTATACCTCGTTTCAAAGAGCAAAACGATATAAGCACTGTGTATGCCGAGTTTAATTTTGCAACTCGATTACATAATTGCCTCTGATCTGATGCTAGGTTATGCATATTCCCTTATCCTGTTTTAGTTTTTAGCTTATTAACTGGACATTTCTCTCTAAAAATATATGCAGTATCGTCATAATGGAAGGCGATCCCCATCCAGGAGCAATTAAAGGTCGGATGTCATTTCAGAGTTTTAATCCACGTATTGATGTGAGTCGGAAGATCAAGATTGTGAAGCTCCCCTGTTTAACTTTGTGTCTTTTTCGTCTATTTCATTTTCTAATAGCGAATTCTTGCCTTTAGAGATTGAATGAAGGAGAACCAAGGCTCCATCAGCCAGCAGCTGAAGCATCTATTTCTAGGAATCATAGTGTAAATATTTCTACCAGGTTGGTTCTCGTTTCCAATAATTCTGGGTGAATATATGATCTTTTATCGTATTTAACTTGCGTTGGTGTGCTTTACCCCATGCCTGGGGGAAATTAGGGGCAAATGGTTCTCCACCAGTGGTTTTGATTTCATTCCGAAATCCGGATAATCATTACATCTCTAGATTTTGACTCTGGTAAACTGACAAATTTTTTCACGTTTGATTCAGAGAGAATGGAGCTCCGGTAGATGGTCCAGGTTGTGCAAACCCGACTATTAATGAGGTTAACGCCGACCTCAAAAGAAAACAGCCTGAAGACATGTCTGAGGCACAATTTCCAAATAAGTCACCCAAGAATGATAAAAGCGATCGTCATACGTCGCCAAAAAACAGTTTGGGGTCTCTCAAAAAACCAAAGGGAGATAAGTTGGACTGGAATGTTCTTAGACCACCCAAATGTTAACCAAAATAAGATGAGTTCATTGTTAAGGCAGTGTAATCATGCTTAATTGAGTTCTCTATTGTTTGTGTTATTGGATTTTGTATATCCAAAAGTTATTTTCTGAGTGTAATTCAATCGAGCAGCTTGTTATAGTTGCAAGTGCTGCCTTTTACAGTTTTACATGTGATGTGTTTAGGACCGGTATGGATGAGATACTTGTAGACCTTATGGCGTGTTTGTTATTCTTTTTCGTCATTATAATCGGGGGGTATTGGCCCTTTTAACATTTGCTGTCTTCTGGGTAGCGGGATGGGTGGTTTTGGTCTATTAATTATTGTACCAAGTAGCAGAGCGACCAGATGCTCGAGAGACGGTAGACACGAAGAAATATGTAACATAATGCTACATTGTTACGTACAAACAAGGCTATTTTTATAGAGTTCGTCTTGTGATGATGAAGCGTTTCAATGATATAAGTATAACTCTTTACATTGGAGGTCTTCCAGCGGGAAAGTTAACGACAGATGTATGTTTTCTAAGCTTCCCGAGAAATCGTTACATATCAAGAGAATGCCATGCTACACTAGCTAGGAAACACTAAAACACCATCTAGTATCTACTCCATGCTCCAATGGACGAGGTGAAAAACAGGTCAAGAGCGCACTACGATGCTCTCTCGTGATTGTCTAAGCAGGTTTCCAGATAGAAAGAGCATGAATGATACGCCCTTTCCATCCCTGCAAAACCCACCTGCTATCCTTATCCAGCGCAAAGTCCTTGTGATATTCGGTCCTCACCATTTCTTGAGCTTTACTAACGAGTTGCGCGTTAATGCGGAGTTGCTTGAATCCAGCTCTACGATTCCTAACCTGCCACTGCTTGTAAGTCTCTGGCCTCTCAACCCTTTCTGTCCCCTCGCACGCTATAACATTCATGGCGTCCCTTCCAAAGATCCCCTTCTCAAACCACAACCTCTCTGCATCTTCCCGGGGCACATTGGCTTCAAACATGTCAAACAAAGATGAGAAGTGGAACAATGCCTCCCTGAACCGAGTGACAAAAAATGGGGCATTGAAGGTGCCATTGACAACGCCATGTATGAAAATATTTGGATTGATCTTCCTTATCAGCTTCAAGACAGCATCCCTTGGACTGTTCACAGACACAGTTTCATCAGGCAGGTTCTTCAATCTGTATAAACAGTTAACCACAGTTATTTCGGTTCTGTCGATCTTCAGATCCTCCAGTCGGATGGTTTCCCAATTCTGTGCCAAGCAGTTGTATTCGAAAGGGACGTTGAACCTCCTGCAGTAGTTTGCTAACCTTCGTCCTGTCTCCTCAATCCTCTCTGCAGGCCGAAACCCTGATTGAGGAAACTCAATTCCTGTGATACGAAGCTTGGGAGGACTACCTTGTCTTTCTGAAAGACGCTGGATAAGGCAGGGCCATTGAAAACCATAGCAAATGCCAAAATCAATAATGTGAAGGTTATTTTCACCCTCTACCAGCTGCAGAATTGTTCTGTTGGCCAAGAAATTTGAGATCCTGAGGAAAGGAGACGCTGTGATGTATAGTTTGTAAGCTTTTAACATCTCAGCAGCAGTTGCTTCGTTGCCATTGAGGGGGTTATATGATGGTGTCCCAGCAGCCAAACGGGTCTCAAGACCATTGGCAAAGTAATGAGCCAACCGTTCGAGCCCATCGCCAAAAGGGGAACAATGCTGCCTGATCTGCTTGAGAAGTTCATTGGCATTCCTTTGGTCAAAGCTTGCAACAGCTTGGGCACATTGGGTTAGTAGAGTCCACAAATCTACTGCTGACCCCTTGTTAGACCCTTTCTTTGAACGCGTTGCCTTCCCGTTTGATCCTCCAGAGTCAACATTTAGATGGAGTGCACCATTCTGAGATGGTTGTGGGCCACATAACTCGGATTGACTAGTTCTGAGATTACAGAGAAGCACTTCATCAAACATTTCCGTTGGCTCTGAATCATTTGAACTGACAGCAGAAACTTTGCTGCCTCTGCTCCCTTCGTTTATAGAATCGCTCATCCGATGGGTTCTCTTTTCCCTTCTTCCTCTGGATCCTGAGTTGCGCATGGAACCCCCAAGATTCAGCTGCAGATTGCTCCGATCAAGGGTGACTCCAAATAGATCGGGAGGCAGATCTGAAATATCGAGGATGTTTTCTGGGGAATTGACAACACCGTTCACCCATTCGGAGTCAGATGTATTATCAGTGGTATAGCTGCTGCTGCTCTCGAAACTATGGGTAGGAAGGAAGTTTTGATCATCCGGGCTATCAGTGTTTTCACCATGGAAGCAATCAGAGAGTTGACGAGGAGAAGAGGGGTAACTACGACCGAGGGCATCGTAGAAAGATTTTTCAGCAGCCCGGAGTGCTAAGCAATCTTGCAACATGCAAGGCTTGCGCTCCAGGTCATCTTCTTCATCCAAGAGGATTTCACTTATGAATCTGAGAGCCGGATTGGAGTATTTGTTACTGTCCGCCGATTCTTCATTCGTGCTCGTGCTAGAAGATTGGCCCGACTCACTATGAAACTCTGAATTGGTTGGAAAGGACGAAACGTCCGATTTATCATCATGGGTGAACCCGTTTATAGGGTTCTGGTTTGGAAGTTCTGAAATATGACCATTGTCGAATCTAAATCCATTCAGGTTACCAGGAAAGTTCTCCAGAAGAGTATCCATAGATGCCAGTTGAACCAGAACCGGACCAACAAGTTTGACTTTTAATAATCAAGACTGAAAATTGTGTATAAAGAAGAATGAATATTAAATTTGAAACTCGAAACCTAATCAGCCAAGGGAACCAAAGATTCACCGAGACAGAGCAGATGAAAAAATATACACGGAACTAGCAGAGGAATCAAATTTGCGATAAGATGTGAAGGTGAGAAAACTAAATACCGAGACTAATCAATTAGGAGAGATGAATCAAAAGGAAACGAAGGGAGAAGAATAATCAGGAAAGGAAAATGAAGGAGTGAGGGATAAAATAGAGGAAAAAATGGAAACAATACCTAGAAGATAAGGTGGGAGAGTGAGGAGTAACCAGCGGATTGTCTTCGACGCGGAGATGTGATTCTTATAAAACCAAGGAAAAGAGTCATCTTTGGGGCGAAGAACTTTCTAGGAAGATGCTTAGCCAAAGAAAAGACAAAGACAGCCGCCATATTATTATGGGATATGAAACGAATTTTACTAATTACTCGCAATTTTTATGCTACGTGATTACCGGATTACGTAGTATTTATAAACGCTCCATCGGATAGCCGGGGCGCGACTGGAGCATTAATCATATCATCTTGTCCAATGAACACGAGTCACGAGCAGGCCTGGCTGTCGTCACGGTCCACTCCCACAAGAGTTTACCAGGCAATATTAGCTCTTTGCCAAATTTATCTTTTCGTAGTCGGTTAATTTTAACCAACTCCTCACCTCTTGAATTCTTTGATACGTATGTGATTTCTCTCAGTATAAGGTTTTTTTTCATTTAATATTTTTTAATAAAAATTAATATTTGAAAAATTCTAACAAATTGACTCACATGTTAGACCACAAAACTCTTGTAAAAAGATCAGATAACTTACAATAGCTGAGGGAATATAATTTAGAAATGAGGTCAATGAGGAGGTGTGATAGTCAAAGATCGCACGTGTTGAGACTGGAGAGGGAAGGAAAACTTCATCACCAAGGCAGTGGCCGTGTCCCGTATTCTATTCATTTAATTTTTTTTTTAATCCTCGTCCTAGTGTGAACGCATCGCCATCATAAGTGAACAAATAATGATTCCCTTTTGCCTGGGATATTCCAGTCCTGAGTGGGAGAACTTATTATTCACGCGTAAATAAGAGTCATCTTTGATTTTTTTTTTTTTTTCTTTTTGTGAAATAAATCAGAACTCAAAATTTTGCATTTACAAATTGCAAGCCATGAACCTAAAATTTGAGATTTTTGGGGAAAAAATAATGAAGAGGAAGCTGTCTGTTAGCTCCGATTTTAAATATAAAATGGTTTTAATCCAGGATGGTTATAAAGGGCTGTTAAGAAAAATATGACCACTTTTCTTAATTTTGATGAGATAGTTATTTGTTTTTAATATACTGAAGTGGGTATGCGCAACAATGATCCCGGAAGAAGTGTCATATATTATAAATCAACAACACGTATGCTATTACACAAAAGAAGTAATTAAGAACACAAACAAAGTTGCACTAAGCCCAACACAAGAGGACATATATGTATGGTAGTAATAGTAGCAGTGGTATTGAGTTAACATAAACACTAATAATAGAGGAGAGGAGCAGTGAGCCCAACGCCGTCTGCGTAAGAAAAAAGCCTGATCTTAGAACTGTCCTTAAGCTAATAAAGAGAAATACACGTACGTAGTGGTTAAGGATTTCGCCAATCTAAGGATGCCTCCCCTCGTGATGCAGTCACGTTCCCTTTCATCCCTCTGCAAGTAAGTGTTCATATAGCAATGCATTTGAAAGAAGGAGCCATCTGTCCATTTATCAGTAAATAACAAATACAATCATTTTTATTCGTTTTTTTCTCTTATTTCAAACTTACTGACGCGGTAACGCGTTGTGTGTTTATAAGAATAAATAATACTCCTCCGGTCCTAATTATAAGACCCAATTGACTTATTTGAGGAGATTAAGGAAGTAAGTTAAGTTGGTTATTTATAATAAATAAGTGTTGTCATTCCTAAAATATCCTTGCTAATTAAGTATATTGGCTAAAACTATCATTATTAGAAGGATTATCTTGGAAAAAAATGCATAAATATAAGAGACAAAATGGATTGGGTCTTATAATTAGGACCAAATAAAAAGTCAAATTGGGTCTTATAATAAGGACCGGAAGAGTATAATATAATAATAGATATATATATATGAGGCCATTGTCACGCGTGGAGGGGAAGAACGAGGACAAAGAGGGACCGTAAGAAGATGCGGTAGAGCAAAACTCTGCGTGTTCTCAAGCCTGAACCCCCCACGCCAAAAAAAAAAAAGAGTTGTCTTTTCTTGCAACAAGACAAATAACCTATATTTTCCCTCCTTTTGGGGGGTGCCCTCTCCTACTCAGCCCCAGAGTTCATCCATAATTTCATGACTAAAAACTCGAGGGCCCAAAATTATTGAGAATGTAACTCATCAATTTCCACATTATTTTTTTAACTTTCTAAATTCCAAAGTCATTTATCAAGTATTTACAGTCAAGTAATTTTAACGCATCGCTTTTAACAAATAACATGTTAAATGGGTCATGCCAATACTCTCTGTTAAAATTTAAACTCTGCAAACGAGTGCCCACTCATGTTTAAATGAGGTTTTGGATTTGAATCTAATGTTGATATGTTTGTGTGTGTTTAATGATATTAAGTGAAAAAATAATTTTCCAAATTTATTCTCATAGGAAGATTATTATGTTTGAATTCAAATAAAAATTAGCAAATTCATAATATAAGAGTTGTTCATGGATCCGTAACAATGTAAGAGAATAATAAAGCACAATTATTTTTAGAGCCCAAGGCTGGGGTTTAAAAATTAAATGGCCTAGGTCGGGCCACAGCCGAATGAGTCCACTGCGAAAAGTCAGCCAGCACTGTCAAAACAAAAACAAAATCGAAATTGGAAATTGGAAAGATAAAATAAAGACATAGCGACGAAATTTGGTCTTCTATTTTATTATTATTATAGTGACGATTCATACCAACTTGACATTAGGGGTGTTCACGGGACGGGACGGGACCGGGACAGGCCCGTCCCGGTCCCGTCCCGGTGAACAGGGACGGGACAGGGTTTTAGTCCCGTGTCCCGTTCCTGTTCCCCTCCCCCTTTTTTTTTTATTTAAAAAATACTATAATTTTTTATATGAAATTTTTTTATGTTATAATGCTTATTTTTTGTTAGGCTTTTAAAGATAAAAACATTATAAAAAATATTATGTAGAAAGCTCAATTATATAGTATAAAAAAGGTGTAAAAAAAATACTGTAAAAAAAAATACGATAAAAGAAACACTATATAATGGCTTTATGAATTATTTTATTGAGAAAGGAGATATTGTTCAGATAATATTACAACTTAAGAGTTAAAAATCACTATAAAAATAATTATTATTATTAATAAGTAAATTAAATAATCTATTAATAATTATTAATAAATAATTTTTTTAAAAAAAATAATCCCGGGACGGGACGGGACGGGACAACCCCGTCCCGCGTCCCGTCCCGTCCCGGTCACCGTCCAATCCCGTCCCGTACTTGTCCCGTCCCGAAATTTTTTTTGTCCCGTCCCGAACTCACCGGAACCGGGACGGGACGACCGGGACGGGACAAATTGAACACCCCTACTTGACATGTTGCAGGCCCTCTAGATGTTTCATTTATCCATGAATGTGAACAGGAAAATTTTCAAACAACAGAAAATAACATGCGGGATGAATATAGAGACAGGGCCATGTGCTTAATTATGTGGACTGTGAACCTGCCCACTGTCCGAAACAAATAAAAAAATAAAGCTGATCACTTCTCTCGGATTGGTGGGGACTGAGGGCGAAGCGGAACATGTCTCCTTAGTTTTTATGAAGGGTTACGCCTCCCAACAGAAACGCATCATTAGTCCTGCAGTAATTTGTTTTCTTTCCCTTCAAACACTGCCCAACACAGTTTGAAGGCGAACCGTTAAGATCACAGAATGCAGTACTTAGTGTGCTCCAACACGCTGCATGAGGACCAGACTTTTTTTCCCCGGAAGCTGAGTACTGTTTGTGAACAGTGAAGTGAAGGCGAGAGAATAAATGAGGGAATGGCAGGGGGAAACGAGGAAAAGAGACGGTGGAGATGGCGGCCGGGGAATGGGAGGGGGGCCCACAACCGAAAGATGGGAACCAGCTTCCTGATGCGAACACATCACATCATATGGTTGGTTCTCCATTTACGCGCCCCAATCACTCCTCAGCCTCGGGAAACGCAACTTGATCCCCTGCCTCTTTTGACCCTCTACCTATTTGACTACCCCCACCCCTCCAAAAAAAAACCCACCTTCTTTATGTTTCAATCGCGTCAACTACACTGGACTCGATCATATATTTGATATGAAAAGCTAGATGTAAATGTGGTATCCATACTTGGCCAAAAAAAAAACGGTGGTATCCATACATTTTACAAGAATAGTAAACAGTAAATACTTTAATAATTGCTGGTCAAAATTTTTTTTTTAATAATTAAAACCGCAAAATAGTTATCAAATTGAGTACGTGAACCGATGGTTAGCTTGAAAATATCTCCAAATTCACAATCCAGGTTTTGCCTCTGTTTAGCTCTGACAATTAGCTATCGAGGAGACGATGGATTATTCAATTGTATCTCCCGTGTTGATTTCCTTATGAAAGGAATTAATCAAGAAGAGAAGGATTTTGTAGCAGTTGCAATAGATAATGATTTAGACGCAAAGGAATTATTAATTGCGGGGTGTTAAGTGACTTGCATCGTCATCAACGAGAATGGTTCTCAATGTGTCGTCAAACACTATAATGGATGAATGAATCTGTAATGGACAGGAGGAAAGCGACAAGATTGAATAAAAAGAGGCATAAAGGGGGAATAAATACAAGAATCATACAAGGATCAAAGTAGAAAAGTTGATCAGCGCCACCCGGGGGACTCCCCATGGCCGTCCCAAGAAATCCCGCCAACAACTAGCCACCCACCCACCCTATCGTGCTTTTCCTTTATCCTCTTCACTTTAGTCTTCCGCTTCTCCACTAGCGCATAATTAATACTCGTATATCAATTTAGCTCTCTGATTTTCCAAGTAATCGTCCTCCCCAAACGCTACACTTTTGTTTCCGCCCCCACTTCCTTCCCTCCTTTCTTCGAAGCAACCCGCAATATATACATATAACAACATTGCTTCTGGTCTGATTGATGATCTCATGGTACGTGTCAGTCAGAGAGCAGAGACCTCAGAGACGATTTCACATGCTCTCCGATTTGCTTTACGCTCCAAAGTCTCCATCTCACAGGAAAGTCACCACTCACCACCAAAAGGCGTTCCCCCCCCCCCCCCCCTAAATTGTGTGGAAAAAACAAATAAATAAAAAATCGGCGAGTCTTTAGGACATCTAGAAGATGAAGCGACGTTGGTCAGAAGTTGGGAAGAGAGTGCATCACAGCTGCTGTGGGATAAGTAAATTGGGAACACCTGAGTTATCATGACCTGAAATCGTGAAAACTACTAAAATGAGTCCCTCCATTACACCATCCGTGCTGGATTGAGTGAGCATGATTATTAACAGAGAAAAAATCAGCAGTTATATATGAGTACTGTGAAGAGCAAAGATTTATAAACGATCCTTGTAAACATACCTAAAAGTCCAGAATGAGTCGTCTGCGGGAAAAAGCCCAGACTTCGTCAACATCTCATCATTATGATGGCCCCCAACATGTGGAAGCATAAATGATGCGGCCCTTCCAGCCCTGAATCATCCAGTTGTTGTGTTCATCAATTACAAAATCCCTGTGATACCATGCCTTCAACTTTTCGCTGAATTTGACCATAATCTCATCTGGCAGTGGGAACTGCCTGAAACCAGCCCTTGTACCCCTAACTTGCCAGTGCTTGTATGTCTCAGGCCTCTCAACCCTCTCGATCCCTTCACAAGCAACCACATTCATAACCTCCCGACCCAAAAACTCACTCTCAAGCATCAGCCTCCATTCATTGTCACGAGGTATGACGGTGTCAAACATATCATACATTGCAGAAAAATGGAACAGTGCCTCTTTGAACCGTGTGGCAAAGAAAGGGGCATTGTAGGATCCATTGACAATGGATTGAACAAAAATATCAGGATTCATCTTTCTGATCAAATTCAAAACTGCATCTCTAGGACTTTTTACTTCAATCGTCTCGTCCAGTAAATTTTTAAATCTCATCAAACAGTTCACAGCAAGCAGTTCGTTGCTCTCAATCTTAAAGTCCTTTAACGGGATGGTCTCCCAGTTTTGTGATGCTATGGCTGTGTATTCAAACGGAACATTAAAACGCTTGCAATAATTGGATAGACGTCGACCGGTCTCCTCAATTAATTCTGCTGGACGAAACCCAGCCTGGGGCAATTCTATCCCTGTGATGCGTAGTTTCGGAGGCCCACCAGCCCTTTGCGAAAGAAACTTGATAAGTATTGGCCACTGGAAACCATATTGAATGCCAAAATCGACAATATGAAGACTTTCTGCCTTTTCAGCTGCTTTCATAATCATCTTATTTGCGAAAAAATATGCAAACTTCCTGAAGGGGCAGACAGATATTAGAACCGAGTAAGCTCTCAAGATATTAGCAGAAGATATCCTCTTAGAGCTTAGAGAGGCATAGAATATTTTGGTTCCAGTACCACCGCCAGACAAGCGTGCCTCAAGGCCATTGGCAAAGTAATGAGCCAGCCTCTGTGATGCATCACCTAGTGGGGAAGAATGCTGCCTAATCTGCTTTAGTAGTTCATTGGCAGTTCTGCAGTCATTTGCAGACACAGCTTGCGCGCATAGAGCCATAAGAGTCCTTAAATCCACGGTTTCCTTCTTCCTGCCTTGTCTCCTACCGCGGGTCTTCGCCCCGTTGGATGAATTTAGCTGCTCAATTGGCTCTTTCGCCTTGTCTGTTCCATTCTGCAACCATCTGTGGTGCTCCTCACATATCGGAACATTCTCAACACTAAGCAACACCTTATCAAACATATCTGATATATCACTCTCGTCGGCATACACTGCCGACTGCTTGTTACTTCTCCCTTCTTCTGTATCACTAGCTTCACGTTCATGATTCTTCCTACCCTTCATTCCATGTGAATTCTCCCGAATATCTCTTATTGCCTTTTTAGCCGCTCCCATGGACTCTGGAAGCACGTTGCTGCTCTCCAGACCTGTGACAAGTTGAAGTCCTCTGGGAAGAAACTTGCTAGCTTCTTCCAACCCCCTTTTAAATTGTGAAACGGATTCTGCATCAGTAAAGATATTTTGAGCCATGACCTTAGTAAAAGAGGAATCCACCTCTGACAGCCCGTCGCTGATACAAGTATAAGCACTCGGAGGTTGAGATGGTTTCTCAGAGATGGGTTGAAAATTTAAGTGGGACGCATAATCTCCAGAAAATGAAGCATAGGAGGAAGAGGGCTTATTAGCCTCCTGAGACTTGTTGCTGCTGCTACTGTTATTGACAAAATCATTACTACTAGCACAACAGTTATCATCTGTGCTATCAAGATTCTGATGAATGTCTAGGGGATGCTGATTGGGGGAAGGAGGATGATCCTTTCTGAGAGCATCATAGAATGATTTCTCCGTGACTTGTAGACTCAAGGGATCATAAAACATGCTTGGCTTCTGTTCAAAGTTCTCTTCCATAAGCATTTGGCTTATGTACCTCATAGTTTCTGAAAAGTCAGCGTCTTCCAGAGAAGGATCTGGGGACGAAGTCGTCGACGCAGCTGCCACATCTGACATGCCTTCTACTGGTCCTGTAGTCGAGGATGAAACTAACCGCTCTGATCCTTCATATTTCACGCTAGATTGCGGAGCATAACTTACTGGAGACGCATAAGGTTGATACAGTGGATCGGTTGTGAAGTTGAGAAGTATCCGATAGTTTTCGTCGAGTTCCCACTCGCTCGCTGGATATGGTAAATCGTTTGAATCGGAGCTGGCGGCGCCATCATCAAGTTTATAACCGTTTATAAAATCTTGACTTCCGTCAAAGTGAAGATCCATGTTCAGGGGCAGCGGAGAAGCTAGACCCAGAAGCACTAACACCCGAAATGCTTGATAGATCTAAATCTTATGAATAAAGGAATTAAATTAAAATATGAACAGAAACTGAGAAAGAAGGCGCGCATCAGAGTTATTAGACGAAAGACCGATCTTAGCGGGAAAAAAACGAAGATGAATCCAAATTAAAGAAACAGCAAAAGATGGGACGAACCAGAAAGACTGATCGTGGAGGTCTGTCCCAGTGAACTTCAGCACAAGTTATGTTTTGGATGAAAATCCAGACAAAAACAGAGAGAGGAGAAAGGTTGAAAGAACGCGGAGGGCCCCCGAAGAGGAAGGAAAGAAGAAACCCGGGAGCCACCACGATTATTTAATACTATCTAAAGAGAGGGTGGATTATTCATTATTTTTATCAACACGAATAGGAATGAAGTAATTGCGAATTATTATTTTCATAATAAATAGCAATGCTTTTTTAACATCTCTCTTCAATAGTTTTTTTTTTTCAGTTTTTTGTGATAAGTATTTTGAACGTTTGACATTTTACTGTTCTACCAACATACCGCCTATCATTCTTCGCCAACTATTTTTAGCATCTTTATTATTCGACAATGATTCTTGATTTGACTGATCACCCGTTAAAGATTTTTTTCTAATATAATTACTGATTTAATTGATCACCCTCGTTTCATACTTTTAGCGGGAGCAGTATTGCTTTAGATTTAAAGATTGGCAATCCTAAATGTCTTTACTGTAACTTACTCTTATTCTTCCAGTCCTTAATATAGGACTCAATTTTTAAGTTGGTTTTGGTCTTAAATATAAGACCCATTTATCATATTTATCAATTTTCTCTAAATTACCCCTATAGATACTCCTTTAACTATAATCAAATAAAAGAAGGAGATGAAGTATTAAAAAAGATGATTATGGTGTTTTAGGAAAAATGTGTTACTTTTTTTATAATTAACTAACTTACATAACTTCCTTAATCTAATCAAATTAATTAAATGGGTTTTACATTAAGAACCGGAGGAGTATTTTTTACTCATGAAGTTTAGTTTATACAATGAGAGCAATCAGTATAGATCTGGACATTTTTATTACGGCCCAAAACATTTGTGAAAATTTAACCCCATATAAGATGTCTTCGGGAATGGTCATACAGTAATGAGAAAAGATTTGCATTCGTCTCAACTGGGTGATAAGGGAATGAATTAATTTAATCGATGAGTCTCATTGAATTTTAAAAACGTGGCAGGTGCAAATGCATCATTGTTTATCAAAAAGTGAAAATGAAATCAACCGAAGATATTTGACCAAGTAAAATATATACTCCTCCTGTTCTTATTATAAGACCCAATTTGACTTTTTATTTGGTCCTAATTATAAGACCCAATCCATTTTCTCTCTTATATTTATGTATTTTTTTCCAAGATAATCCTTCGAATAATGATAGTTTTAGCCAATATACTTAATTAGCAAAGATATTTTAGGAATAACAACACTTATTTATTATAAATAACCAACTTAACTTACTTCCTTAATCTCCTCAAATAAGTCAATTAGGTCTTATAATTAGGACCGGAGGAGTATATATATATATTCAGGAAGAGTCATATCTCTTGTTATAGTTATGCCGGGGAGATAAGAATTGTATTCGTCTCAATCATGCGATTAATAAGTCAATTAATTTAATTGATCAATGTCACTGTTTTTTTTTTCACTGGGTTGATTTTTTTTAAGTGAAAAAAAAGTCAAATGGAGAGATTTGACCCCGTGCAGGCAGAGTCACAGTCTCTTGGAAGTAGCATATAAGAATGAAGAGATAAGAATTGTAAGTATGGGGATCATGGAACTAGTAAATTGATGAACGATGAATGAATACTACTGGCAACGAATGGAGTATTAAATACCTACTTTTCGGGGATAGCTTGATGGCCAAGCCTCTTAAGTCTGAAGTTGTATTCTTGGTGAGCAAGCCTACAGCATACGAGCCGAAAACGAGATGCTGCCACTGCACAGTTGCCACGTGCTCCCCCCCCCCCCCCAAAAAAAAAAGACGTCACTTTTATGCTGACTTTATTTTATTTATGTGGAGTGTTGACCCAGAATCTTGAAAGAAGATGATGCGGGGAGGGCATTGGACAAGGTCTGCGGAAGGTTTGACATTGTTGTTGTGGTCAGCGAAGATACAAGGTTCGAAATGTCCCAAGATACAGTACGACAACAACGGGATCCGACATTTCAATATCCACAACCTTTGTGGCATCCGCTTTCCATCTTCGCCAACCATGGATAACCGCTGCCTCATTCTACACTTTATATACATCAATAAAGTGTATGTATATGTGTGTGTTGGGATTTATTTTGGCAAGTAAGAGTAGATTTAGAAGGGAGAATATCAGGAAGAGTGCGTTGCAGCACTGTGTTGCCTAATGCCCAGTAGATGGCTCTTTCTGCCAAATTGTGCGGCTAAACACTACTTCTCTAATTCTATTTATATGGTAGAGAGAAAAAATATTTTTTAGTTTTATTTATAGGGTACTGAGAGATTTTTTTTTTATGAACATATAATTTTACCTTTTATTTATTATTATGTTGACTTTATTTATATAAAGTATAATGTATATTAAATAGAGATAAAATTAAAAAGTTATTAAATTTTAAATTATAATTAATGAAATTTAAGATTTTTTTTCTTTGTAAAATATGTTATAAATAACTTATAAATAAGATTAAAAAAAGTGCATTATAAGCATTAATTTGAATTCAACGTAAGCATTGGAGTCAGCCAAATAGCACTTGAATATATACAAATACGCATGTGTGCGCGTGTATCAAAGAATGTACAATTGAGCGGCCTGTGGGTGGCCACGCAAAATTCGGTCGCGCTTGCACTGCTCTCTTATTCTCTCATTGGACCCCAATTCGTTCTTCCTTACTAACACCGAAATTCAATAAAACGTCACATTATGCTGGTTTAGGCTTTCAATATAAAAACTAGTTTATTAATTTGAACAAATTAAAAAAAACCAGTAATATTAGTTATTTGTTATAAATAGGTGTTATTTTTTATAAAATATCTTTGTTAATTAAGTGTATTGACCAGAACTATAATTATTACAAGAACCACCCTAAAAAAAATAGATAAATAAAGGAAACAAAGTGAATTGAGGTACTATACTTAGAATTAAAATAAAAATTAAACAAACTCTTATGTTAAGGACAGGTTAGTACTAACTTGGTGCTGGTGTTCTTACATTTTGTTCCCATGTGGCATTGTGGTGTTTTTTTATATGTAAATATATTTTTTATTTCTAGTATCTGGCTTAATTTGTCAATATAAGGACCAAAAATCAGCCAAAAGAAGCTGATTTGCAACAAAAATATCATGTTGATGTTCTCATGTTTCGAAATCTTTTAAGGGTATGTTTGGATTGGCGTTGGGCAAAACTGACTTCTAATCCAACTGACTTTTATAATTGAAGTTAGAGTAAAAGTCAGTTATGGTATGTTTGGACAGGTGCTTTTAAAAAACCAGTTGGAAAAGTTAAAAGTTGTTTGACTGAATAGAAAAGTTAGTTCAGTTGTAAAATGACTGAAAATGACATATACTTTATTGAATAGTAGTGTTTGATATTTTTAATGTGATAATTGTTAAAAAAAATATCTAAAATTATTATGATAAAATAAAAATAGTTTATTTGTGAGATTATAAAATAAAAATGTTTGTTACCAAGACAAATTTAAAAAAATATTTTAGATAATTAATTAAATATATATAATGGACAAACATGAACATAAATTAAAATTCATTTCGTCTCTAATTAGAGTAAATAAAATTACATAAGTAATTAGATCGTACTTAATTAAACATATATAATAGACAAACATAAACATAAATTAAATTAAAATTAATGGGTGAGCTCGGTGCAGATATATAAACATAAACATATATAATGGAAAGAATGCTACGCACGGTCTCTGTTTTGGTTTGAACATGGTGCATATAGGTGAGAGAAATTAATGGGTCATTAATTTTGCAACAGCATATTACAATTTGCAACGGTGAAAAGCTACTTCCCACAGCGTTGAAGAATAAGCCGCTTTTTGTTTTAAAAGTCAGATACAAAGCCTATCCATCTAAACAACCAGTTTACCATAAGAGAGCCCCCAACCGACTTATTCCATTTTCCAAGGCACGTTTGGACCTCAAAACGGAGATCCAAACATACCCTAAATCTCTATCAATGGCAAAAAGAATTCGTATAATTAACTTTTCAATAAAAATTACTAGATTATTAAAAAACTGGCGAACTATAAAGAAATAAACTGTATTATATACTACCTCTGGTCCTAAATATATGAGCTAGTTGACCAATTTGAAAAGATTAAAAAAATAAGTTAAACTAGTTATTTATAATAAATAAGTGTTGTCTTGCCTAAAATGTCTTTGCTAATCAAGTATATTGGCTAGAACAACCATTATTAGAAGAATTATCCTGAAAAAAATACATAAATATGAGAGACAAAATGTATTGAGATATTATATTTAGGATTAAAATAAAAATCAAATAAGGTTTTATATTAATAATCGGAATTGGAAAAAAAAAAACTGTACTGTATTTGGCCTGAAAATAAGTATGTATTTGTCTGTATTATAACAAGCCCGATTTCTAGTTTCTACAGATAATAGATATAAGTGCGCGCACACACGTATAATTTTCGCCGTCTCTCTCACACACGCACACATATCTCTATATGAATATAAATCTTATGCGTGTATGATTTGGCGTGCAAATTAAAAAGCCGAACAACCGCTCCTAATTTTTCCCTGAATCTTATCATTCGCGTTACGCAATCCGGACCATTTTTATTTTCCAATAGTAACACTATACTACCTCACCTACTTAAACGCTGTTTAGATAGAAATAAAATTATGATTTTAAAAGTAGTTTTGCAGTAAACAAAATAAATATATGAAATTTTTTTTCTTGATTTATAAAAAAAAATACTTTTTAAAAGCACTTCTATGATCTTCCAAACATCCTCTTAATAAAAAGATTTAGTTTGACTTTTAAGTTGATCATAAATATAAGACCTCAATTCATTTTATCTCACATGTTTATCCACTTTTAAAATAGTATTTATAATAATTCCACATATTAAAGATTCTATCAAATAGTAGTTCTAGCTAATACAAATAATTAGTAAGGGCGTTATAGAAAAAATAACACTTATTTTTTTACAAATAATTAACCTAACAAGCTTTTTTAATATACTCAAATTTG